CTGTCTGTCCTCACCTGTCTGTCTCTTACCTGTCTGTCCTCTGCAGGCCTAACGTGGTTCTGGGCGTCACCAACCCGTTCTTCATCAAGACTTTTCAGAACTGGCCTCATGTGGTTCGACTGGGAGAAATCAAGATGGCGGGTAACAAAACAACAACATGGTTCTGATCTTTCTTTATTTTATGTGTGTTGTTGTTGTTGTTGTTGTTGTTGTTGTTAACTGATACATTGTTTATGACAGAATATGAAGTGACGACTATATAACGACACACCTGTCTGCTCTTTCAGGTGATTTACCCAAACAGGTGAAGGTGAAGAAACTGTCCAAACTGAAAACTCTGGACACTAAACCAGGTCACATGACCTCTTTATTGATCACTTTATTGATCACTTTATTGATCACTTTAATTTACAATAAAGTCGTCTTTTATTGTGACAAACCTTTACTTCCTGCGTGCAGGGATCTACACGGCGTACAAGACGTTTCTGCACAAAGACAAGATTCTGATTAAAAGACTGCTGAAGGTGAACAGACATCAGCTATAATCAATAATCAATAACAATGACTCATTAATAACAATAACGAGCTGTGTGCGTCTTCAGGGTATTCAAAGGAAGAGACCTTCAGAGGTTCAGAGCGCCATCTTGAGGAGACACCTGTTAGAGCTCACTCAGAGCTTCATCATCCCGCTGGTGAGAACAGCCAATCAGATCATCGCGTACACGTGTCACTTCCTGTCTGAGTTCGGTGTAAACCCTGTGTCTTGTCTGTCAGGAGCGGTACATGGCGAGCCTGATGCCTCTGCAGAGGTCGGTGACGCCGTGGAAGGTAAACAGGAAGTGGGTGATGTGTGGTGACCTCACAGTGATGTCAGCAGATGACACCTGGTTCACTCTGTGTGTGTTCAGACTCCTCCGCAGATCCGACCCTTCAGTCAGGACGAGTTCATGTCCACTCTGGATCACACCGGGCCCCAGCTCACCTCGGTGCTCAAAGGGGACTGGATGGGACTGTACAGGTGAGTCCACCAGGTGCGGCTTACGGCTTATCGGTTTGATACCGGTCTGCTTTAACGTTGTTGTTGTTGTTGTTTTGAACTCCTGACAGGAAGTTCTTCAGGTCTCCGAACTTTGACGGATGGTATCGACAGCGACACAAAGAGATGACTCAGAAACTGGAGAGTCTTCACCTGGAGGTCATCTGTGACGCCGTGAGTTCGTTTATCTGATCAGACTGTAAACATCTGCGATAACCCCTAAATTATTTCTGCCTCCAGCGTTCTGATCGGTTTGGACCAAAGACAAGTCTGAGGTGGAAATCGTCGACTTGATTCTGAAGCTCAGAGAGAAACTGGTGAGTGAATCAGGATCGTTGAAAATAATATATTTATGAGGAAAATTTAATAGTTTGAGAAAAAAGAGAAAGGAAGTCACGATAGTTTGAGAAAAAGTCTCAATAATTTGAGAAAAAAATGAAGAAAAAGCCCCCTAAAAAGAAAAAACATAAATAAATGCGTACTATTTTAAAAATAAAGCCACAAAAATAAGGATGAGGTGTTTTATTGTGTAAGTCTGTACATACAAAAGTTCTGTTGTGATTCAGTTTAAAACAGGAAGTGTGTTTTTTCAGATTAAAGCTCGACGGCAGCAGCTGCAGGTGAAGGACGGCGTTATGGACAAACTGGACGCTTTTATAAACTCCATCATCAGCTCGGTGCCGGAAGACCTGCAGACTGTACTGAACACACACTGAACACACACACTGAACACACACACTGAACACACACACTGAACACACACACTGAACACACACATTGAACACACACACTGAACACACACTGACAGCTTTTGTTATCAGAAAATCAACAGCAACAGAGAACAACATCAGTAAAATAAGTTTAGTCAGAGTTTAACTGAACATCTTGATGCCTTTATTAAGTTAAGATTCATTAAGTTAAGTTGTGATTAAATGTGAGGACAGTGAACTTACAGTTTGTTGGATGTTTGTTGGTTTCTGGATGTTAATTTACACTTTCAGCTCGTGCAATATTTGGGAAGATTTAAATAACCTGTTTTAATAAAAGTCCAACAAACTCAAACAGTTAATGAATGAATGAATGAATGTCTGTGATGTGTTTTATCTGACATCATAATGAAAATAAAAACTATTTAATTGTTTCACATTATTTCAGTTGGATTTTTATTGAAACTATAAATCTTCATAACATTTAAACACTGATGGTATTTTTCTACCACAGCTGAACTCAGTGAATGTAACACACACTAATAATAATAATAATATTAATACTGTTACTGTCTGTAAATATGAGTTTTGCTTTGAAAAGTAAAACCTGAATCATGTTCACATTGTGTCTAGTTTGTTGTATTTCCAGCTGTTTATTATTTATATTTATTTATTTTATTAAATTATTTCTTCTGGTGCACACTGATCAATATATCGATCATATAAATTATGTATCGGCCGTTTTCTCATAATTTACTTACTTCAGGGTTTTCCTTCAGGAAATTGTTCTGTCACGTCACAACTGCAGTCAATTAATTATCTTTAATATTTATACAAAAAACCTTGAAGAAAGGATCAATAAAGGATCAATAAAGGATCAATAAAGGATACAGCGTTATGATAAAGAGTCGTAATGCTGTAGAGTAAAAAGCTTCCACTCAATGAATGAATTAATGAACTCTTATTAATTGTTGAATGAATGAACCAAACTGAGTTTGTGAAGCAGGAAAAATAGTTTAATTTCAACAAGGGAATCAAAAATATACATATTAGTGATCAATAACTTCATTAGCTTTCACTTCCTTTACTCACAGTGACACTCTGTCTTATAATTGTTAATATATTCTTATATACAGTTCAGATAGAAACCAGACTCCATTCGCTTTTTCTATCAATTTAAACATCCGATGATTCCTCAGGACACAGTCCCGTTCTTTAACTCGTCTTCAGGTGTTTTTACGACCTCTTGCCGGCGGTCCACCAGCTCGCCGCCTGCAGCCTCAGGACGTTGTGTTTCTCCTGCGGGCTGAAGTGCAGGATGGTCAGGATGGCGGAGAGCGTCTGCTGCCTCCCGCTGGCGTCGTGCAGCGTCAGGAACTTGTAGATGACGTTCTTCAGGTACTCCATGTTGGCGCCCTCTCGGCTCTGATCTCTCATCAGTTTGTCGAGTTGTCCTCGCAGCTCCGCCTCCTCCTCCTCGTGGCGCTCTCCGTTGGCGATGAGCCTCGCCTGCAGCTGGTGGAGGTCGTCCTCCAGTCGGTGTTTCTGCCGCCGCAGTCCGCCCACCTCCACCTCCTTCCGGGCCAGCTGCTCGGCGTACAGCAGCAGCGTGGGCTCGTTGGGCGCCGCCCGCCGCAGGGCCTGGCTGATGATGTCGCCCTCGCTCTCCGGGCCGGACTCGTGCCCGTCGTCGACCTTGCTGTCTGCGTCGCTGCTGCAGCTGTGCGCGGCGGCCCGCAGCCTCTCCAGCTCCTGGTCCTTCTCGTCCAGCAGCGCCATCGTCCTCTCTCGCTGCTTGTGAAGCTCCGCCTCCAGACGCAGCAGGTCGTCGCGGTGCAGCATCTCCAACCTCTCCACTTCCTGTCTGTGAGTCTGCTGCAGCGCCGCCGCCTGCTGCTGCCGCTCCTCCAGCTCGCGGCGGTGCTGGGTCTCGGCCTCGTCGCTCTGGATCCGCAGGTTGATGTACTTCTCCTTCAGCTCCGCCAGCTGGTCCCGGACCTCCTCCAGCTCCTTCGCCTGGCAGCCGTCCTTCACGTTCTTGTTCTTCAGCACCACCTGCGCTCGCAGCTTGTAGCGCTCAAACTCGTCCTTCAGCTGCCGCAGCTCCTGCTGGTACGCCAGCGCCGAGCCTTTGTCTCCGCCCAGCTCCGCCTCGGTCTCTGCCAGGTTCTGGATGTTCTGGTCCGGGTTCCTCTGAGCCGCCAGCATCAGAAGCTTCTTCACCTTCTCCAGCTTCTCCTTCAGCACGCTGACGTCCAGATGCGACTCGTCCACGTTCAGGTCAGACGCCGTCCTGCTGGAGGCGGCGATGGCCAGCGTTTTGTTCTCCGTGTCGAGCTGCATGATCCGGTCTCTGAGTCTCTGAGCCGTCTGCTGGTCTCTCTGCTTCGTCTTCTCAGAGGAACCCAGCAGCTCTGACAGCTCAGAGACTCTCTGCTCCAGACCCGCCACCCTCAGCTCGGCAGCCTGCGCTCGCTCACGAGAGCGAGTCTCTGCGTCGCACGCCTGCAAACACGGACAGAGTGATGAGTCAGCACCTGTGTGGACCTGTCACAGTTAGTCTAGACCTGGTTTTACTCGGTTCTGGTCTCAGTCTTACCTTCCTGGTCTCGATGTAGATCTGCTGCTGGAAGTGGTTTTTCAGCTCCGTCAGTTCTCGCTGCAGTTCGTTCACTCTGGGATCTGGTTTCTTCTGGTCCTCCTCGGCGACCTGCAGCCTCCTCCTCAGCTCGTCTCTTTCCTCCCTCACTTTGTTCAGGTGAGCCTCAGACTCCGCCCCCCGGTCCACCGCCTGTGATGTCACGAGGAGTGTGGCGTTGGCGTCCTGTAGGCGGAGCTCAGCGTCCTGTCGCAGGTCTCTCTCCTGCTGCAGGATCTTCTGCAGCTCTCGCAGCTGCTGGACGTGGTCTCCCTGCTCCTGCTCCCTCTCGTGCTGCTGCGTGATGATGCGAGCGCGGCTCTCGGCCAACTGCTGCTGCAGGGCGCGAAGCTCCGCCTCCTGCTGCGTGGCGATGCTGCTCAGGCGCTCCTGCAGCTCCTCCACCTCCTGCTTCAGCTGACGCTTGTCGGCTTGGAAACTCGCCTCCATCCGAGACTTCTCCTGCGTCACCGTGGACAGGGAGCTGGTGAGCGTGCTCAGTTGACTCTTCAGCTGGGCGACTCGGCGGTCTGCCTCCACGCTGGGAGGGGGCGTGGCCTGATGCTGCTGCTCCGCCCCTGTGCTGCTGGTCTCGGAGCCGCCGGCATCGGGGTCGGAC